AAGGGTATTTTTGTCCATGGGGTATTGCATATATGTTATTGTCTCTTAAAATATGTCACGGTTTGGTGTTGCTTTGTTTAATTATTTGAATTGCTAATTCTTCTTGGAAATTGTTAAATTGCTTAGGGTGCTATACAGTTTTAGGAATCATGAAGAAGATAAACGTGTGGTACAATTCTTGAGATTGGCATGAAAAAGATAAAAGGAATCATGAATTCCAATTCTGTTGGAATGGAATCATGAATTCGAATTCTGTTGGAATCTAAACTACAATTTGGTTTTGTTTTCACAGAAGTTGATGCTTGAAGAACGGACCGCAAAATTGAAAGTGATTCTAAGCAACATTATTCTTTTAGAATGTAGTAGTGTCGTTGTTAGATTTTGATGTTTTCTTTCCGGTTTTGAAAGTTTTTTAATTTTATTCTTTAACAATAAATGTAATTCTTAACAATTGTTACCCGTATTCTATAAGAAATAATGTTTTTGTTTTTATTCTTCAATTAATTGTTCAAGAATTTGTTATTCTACGAGAAGTTTTTAAAGTCATGATCAATAAATAGGTTCAAGAATATTTTTATTATTTATGGTTCAAGAATATTTTTATTTTTGAATATACTCAAAAAACATTTTGTCAGAATGTCCGATTTAAAAGAAATTAATTTGTAAAAATCTGATTTTAAAATTCATAGAATCTATGATCCCTTAAAATATGCAATTTCCCTTTATTAAATCATATTAATTGACTAAAATACCCTTGTATTAAATTAGATGATTTTTCAATTATATTTAATTCAATAATATATATTAATCACTTTTTTAAAATAAGTAAAATTGATTGGCTCACATTTAGGCATACAATACACAATATTACTTTGAATAGAATAACCTAGGCCTATATATATATATATATATATATATAGATATATATATATATATATATATATAATATATATATCTATATATATATATAATCTCAATTATTTGAACAATAATATTCATTGACATCACCCCACATTCCTCATTAATAGAATCAAATATAATTATCTATTTAGTTTTATTTCTAACAATTATTATTATTGATTAATTATTTTTTACTTATGTGATCATTTTCTAATTTCAATAAAGATGGTTCATTGAAAATACAATTTATTTATAGGTAAATGTAATTTATCCTTTGATGTTATGCGCATTGAAAATTGTTTTCTCATTAATTTTAAACCCACTTATTATTAATAATAAGTTAAGAAGACTTTAAGAAACACTTAATTATTTATTAAAATGTGAAACAACACTAAATAATAAGTGATAAGAAGACAATTTGCATTTCAAGAGAGATTGCATGGATAATATGACATATCCATGAATTTGATTTTATTATTTATAATTATTGTTTAGTAATTTTAAACCACTTGTTATTATTCATAGTGAAAGAAACTTTAAAAAGCATTTATTTTATAACTAAAATGTTAAACATATACTAAAATATAAAGTGAGAGATGACAATTTGCATATTAAAAAAGGCTTTACATGGATTAATAGGGATAATATGACATATCCATGATTTTTAATTATATTGTTTTGAAGCAACATGAATATACAAACAGGTATACAATAGTTAATTTAAATATTATATATATCACCTTCCATAACATATGATCGATAACATGAATCTAATCTAATTTACATTAAAATTTCAACCACAACATACAATGATATTCTTAAAAGAATACTTAAATCAAGAAAATACAAAAAAGATTACTATATAACAAACTTACAATTAAAAACTTCAACATAATAATGGCTCGAAAAATTGTTCAAAGCCCTCAAACCAACACAAAAACCTTTAAACTTGTTTTCTTTGTGAATTTTGTATGTGAATTTGATTATTGTGTGTCTACTAAAAAGATTGACCTTTTTATAGTAGAGTATCCATTAACGTTTTATTAAATATATGATATAATTATAAAACATTTGACATTGTTAATCATTATTAAGAGACGTTTGGAGTGGTAGTCATTCAATAAGAGGTTTTCAAATGCATGAGGTGTTTGTAAATTTTTATGGGGGTTTCAAATGCAGGAGGTTCAAGGAAAAATGCTAGCTTAAAAGAATACTTAAATCAAGAAAATACAAAAAAAAAATTAATATATAACAAACTTACAAATTAAAAACTTCAACATAATAACATGGCTCGAAAAATTGTTCAAAGCTCTCAAACCAACAAAAAAAATTAAACTTGTTTTCTTTGTGAATTTTGTATGTGATTTGTATTTGTGTGTCTACTCAAAGATTGACCTTTTTATAGTAGAGTATCCATTAATTGTTTATTAAATATATTATATAAGTTATAAAACATTTGAATTGTTAATAATTATTAAACGACTTTTGAGTGGTATTCATTAAAATAAGAGGTTTCAAATGCATGAGGTTCAAGGAAAAATGCTAGCTTTATAAGTATGTATGATATATATATATATATATCTAATAGTATAATATATATATATATATATATATATATATATATAGTCAGGATCTTTTGCGAACCATTTACTGTGAACTCCGTGAACTTTTTTGTGTGAATTTTTTTTTATAAAAAAAAAGTGACTTAAGGCATTAGGTCGATCATTTAGAAGTGTATTCGTATAAAAAAGATCTCGAAAAAAATGTGCACATATGAAAAGTGCATATACGCAAAAACGTCAGAAGTGCATATGTTCGTCAAAAATAACTTTCATATGTGCACATTTTTTTTCGAGTATTTTTTATTTTTTATTTTTTGCTAATACACTTCTATATAACCATTTTAGTGGCTCAAATCACTTTTTAAAAAAATCACACAAAAAAACTCGCGGGAAAATATGAGTTCGCAAAAGATTCTCTCTCTCTCTCTCTCTCTATATCTATATATATATTATTCTATATTATATATATATATATATATATATATATATAATAGAATTGCATTCTAAAAAAATGTTTTGGGTTAATTTATGTTATACCAAAGTTGATTTAATAATTTAAAAAAAGACAAAAAAAAATCCATTTTGTTTAATCTAAATACTTAAATGCTTACTAGTAGTTTCAAATTACAATAAACAAACAAATTAAAATTAACTGTATTTTAAACTTCATAACTTATCATATGGAAGTAAATTGCAGAGCACAACAAACAAATTGGGCATATATGGTCAACTTTAAACCTATTTTAGTCGATGAAGTATATTCATCACTCCACATTATCAATTTAATTTTTATATTCACTTTTTCAATAAAATAAAATAATAATGAAGCAAATAGATTTATTAAAAAATGGTTATATTAATTTAAATAAAAAGTAAATTAAATAGAAGAAAAAAATATTACATTAACTCAAATAAAAAAGAAAATTACATAGTAGGAAAAAATGTTACATTAATTTAAATAAAAAGAAAATTAAATACTAGGAAAAAAGAATACATCAAATTAATATTCAATTTTTCCTCTTCAAGATTTGCATGTCCCGTGTAAAAAATGATTTCGGAGAGTTTTGCAACTCATACCAAGCATTGATATAGATAAAATATTTACGGTTACTTTGAAATTCTTTATATTGTTTGAGTGTCGCATCGAGGGCCTCAGAGTCATTACTTCTATTTAGATGTGTGTTTTTGAGATGATTGTAGATGTCGTTAAATTTTAGTTATTTTTAACTTTATATCGAGTCATTTTAACAAACACCCATCGAGATATCGATAAACACCTTTACTCATTTCGTTGTGGAAATGGTTAAGAATGGCTAAAGAGGTTTCTTCTTTTAACTCCCAAGGTTTTTGGGTTTCGAAATTTGGTTGTGTAAATCGTTTCATGGTGGAAAGTAAGAAATTGTTTGTACATGTATGGTGGTGTGTGTAGTAGAGGATGAAAGAAATGGTGTAAAAAAATATAATGAAGTGGTTAATATTTATAGGAAAAATGGAATGATTTAATGGGTAATTAATTTAAATTTGTAGCAATTTCATTCTTGGAAATCATATCTTTCAATATCATTCGTTGCTTTCCGTGGTAGATAACACGAGAGACCACAACTGTGGCATCGGGGATGGGGTGACCATGACCACCTGGCCATGAAATCCTCTCGTGAAGAGCATAGCTCAAGTATTTTAGGCTATATGATATACCACCACATCATGAGTGTGGTGATGAGGTGGAAGCTGAGGTGGCGTGCACACTGGCCCCACGACATGGAAAGAGATGAACCTAAGAATTTTTCGAAGAGAGGGAAAGAATTAATTTTTTTTATGGGGAAAAATATTTTTAAAGAGTCAAGAATATTATTTTGAATGGTTAAAATTTTTTTTTATTGAAAAAACATATTTTTCTAATTAATTATTTTGTTATGGGGTAGTTGCACCACTGCCAAGTCTGCCCCCGGGGTGGAGGGATGTTAGCGTGGAGGGGCATGCCCTAGGCCATAACTAACCATGTGTATCTCTGTTGTTTGACAGTTTCTTCACGTTGTGGGGGAAGGGACCATCATCCCTCCCCCTTGGTGGAATGAAGATGAAGATGAAGATGATTATGATTAGACTACATGGGTTGTATATCCAATAGTTTTATAAAATTCAACTCAACGTTTAGTCTTCTATTGTGTCTAAAATATATAGTCAACTAATGGAATGAAATTGTTACGGAAAGGATCCAAACAAAACGTCGGGTAGTGGTGGTGGGTATGTCCCGTGACCCATGGTACCGTGATTGATGCTAATTGCCCCATCAAGATTTCTTACCCTTCACTTCACACACACATACACTTTACCCCCCTACACTTTCCCCTTCACTTTGGCTATAGTGCTATACCCCACAAACCCTCTTCGTATTGTCCTTTTACTCCCTCTTATAACCATCACAATACTACCAAATGTCATATTTGCCCCTTCCTCATTACCCCTCTACTTCATTCTTCATATAAATAACTTCATCTTCCATTCGAATCATCACACACGTTCATTCCAGTGACAAAAATGCATCAACCCATTGACTGGTTTTCTTGGCTATCAAAATCCGGGCTTGAACCTTCACTTATTTACGAATATGGGATGGCTTTCTCTCGAAACGAGCTTGAAGAAGGCGACATAACTTACTTCAACCATGAATTCCTTCAAAGCATGGGGATCTCCATAGCCAAACACAGGTTAGAAATACTGAAACTTGCTAGAAAACAAAAAGGTTCACGTGGGTCACACACACACCCCATTTCAAGGCTCATCATCGCCATGAAAAAGACCAAAAGGACCTTGGCTAGCTACATCCAGACATGGGTTCGCCGGGATGAGTCAGCTCTGGTACTCGTTAGTAAAAGTTATGGTTGGAAAGGTACGATGTTGAGAAGAAACAAGAGATCGGTGACTTTCAAACAAGCTAGTACTCCTCCTACTCTATTGCTCACTAATAGCTACCATAAGTCCGATAGTGCTAGAATCAACAACTTTGCGAGTCCTTTGGTTTATGATCTCCGGTATGATCAAGGAAAAATTGATGGTTACGATGGTGATGATCATGAGAAGTCTGATGAAGAAGATGATGGTGGTTACTGGTCTGGAGGTGGGGGTGGTGTTCAAGAGATTAGATGGGACACCATGTTTCAGAATTTGAAACCTACTTGAGATCTAATAGCAATCATATTCTTCCCCAATTACCCTCTTTCTTTTCTTTCTTTTTTTAAATAAATTATTAGAAGAATTAATGGTGAGATGGATGCTATTTTTTTAATGTTCTTCCACCACTGTCAAGTGTGAACCTTGCTTTGAAAGAAAAGTACAGCTCTGAATTGTTTTTCTCTGGTGAAAGTCGTAATTTACTTTTAGCAAAGTTTAGCATGCTAACCCTTTTGGGGGTATTCTTGGGATTGATAAAGGTTATAGTTTATGTAATAAAATTGTATCAAATTAAGTAAATTTGGAATCTTTTGATTTAATGATGACATATATCGGTAACACTATGTGATCTGCATAACATTGGTCTAATGTTTTTATTGAGAGAAATTAAATATCATCCTACATATCTTCCTATCCATATGAAATGATGACATGTGTCATATTTTGATAAAATTAATTATATTTTTAGAGACTTGTCATCATTTCAAATGGATAGGAAGAAAAGTAGGAGAATATTTAATTTTCTTTTATTAAATCTTCGAGCTCTATAAAGTCGGTATCTTTTATTATGATGTACCCATCAGCTATAATCGGTTTCGGTTTTCCATCACTAGGCAATCCTATGAGAGAAGGACCTTGTCCAAACAATCGAAGAATCAAAAAGAAATCCTAAATATATTATCAATATTACATGAAGCTGAGGGCAATGGCAACGAATGACTGCATCTGTCAAGTCAACCTTAAAACGGGTTATAGACTCTAAAACTGATATATTTTAGTGTTATTCACTAAAATGACATAAATTGGAACCCAAAACACATAGTTTTAATTACTATCGCAAAATAACCACTTAATTCGCTAATTATTTGGAGAAGTGCACTAATATAAAAGGTATATACCAAATTGAAACCATTTTCCATATTCCATGTGATTGTCACCCAAACATCACATGTATTCGTTACTAAGAACTCAATATGTGGCATCTTGATCGTGTTTCTAAACTTATGGAACCCATTCAAGTGAGCAAGCAAAGAAGACCTTGATGTTGCTTCGTTAGGTTCTTTATTGCCTTAGCCTAAAGGACTGAAACGAGTCTTAGGACTGATCGGGTTTGAGGACTCACTTTATGAAAGGATTGAAACAAGCCTTCTGACTAGTTGGAGATTAATGCATTGCTAATCTTGTAGAAGTTTGCTAAGTTCGTGTACTATTCAGAAAGTCCGCCATGTTGCTAATTATTTGAGAAGCTCGAGAGGTTTACCTATTCAAGAAACTCATGAGGTGCCTTTCGCAAAATATGATTGTGGGGACCACTTTAAAATTAATTTCGTGAACTTACAAGGAGTTTTCCGCAAAGTTGGTGGTCATTTTGTGAAAAAAAATTGTAAGAACAGTTGTTTGGTGATATTCGGGTTCCAAAGTTTGTCGGTTTTGTAAATAGCTCAGCTCAACATTTTAATCAGAAATACCGACCAAAGAGCTTATGGTCCAACAGTATCAAATGTTGGTGAAAATATATCCATCAGCCAAATGTTAAGAGTTCAAGTCTTATTGAAGACAAATAAATAAATAAATTTAGAAGTAATATAAGGATGTATGTTTACCATTTAATAAAATAACAAACAATGATGCATAAATGATATATTTAGTTGCTCATACACTTTAATGAGATGGTACATTTTAGTCAAGTCAACCCATGCTTTTAAATCAATGATTAAAATTCCACCGGTCCAAGGGCAAGAGGTAGACATACTTATTAGTCATGGGGTCCTTTTAACTTTCAGCCATGGAAGTTTGGCTGCTACCCATCAATTCCTAATTAAAAATCTCATAATTCAACACAAAATAACCATATTATATATAGCATCCGTATGCACAACTGCACATCAAATTACAATCCCTGATGCACAGGGTACAATCAAACTTCAAAAAACCCCCCACAAATTAAACACAACACCATACCACTTACCCAGTTTAAAATTGGGCTCATGCTATATGACTTATATGACTATATGTCATCACTACTACAAAATAAACATAGTTGTTCAATTATACACCACCATTACATATTAAACTCAGATTAGGTTAACCTGTAACTTTCACAATCATAAAGTCAACTCAGATTAAACCCTAATCTTCAATGTCCAGCACTTTGAGGCAAACGAAACGACCCACCCGCATAAAGCATTTGGTAAACGGGTCGAATTCTGAGGGTTAAAATCAAGCTCAAAATTGAACTTATACAACAAACACCAGCAAGAACAAGAAATGTGAGCCTGAAACAATTGGGACCCATGCAGGTGGACCCACCTTGTTTAGCTTCTTCTGTGTCAAAAACATAACCTGCAAGCATTCCTGAGAATAAAAGAGCACCAATTGGGTTTCCTAGCCCCATGAAGTTGAAGATTAAACCGAAGTTTTTTAACCCAAAAAGCTCAGATGATGTGGGAATCATAACACCAAATTGAGTACCATAGCAGATTCCAAGTAAGGCTGTTGCAATATAAAGTGTCCCTTTTAGAGCTGATGCGTATAAAAGATATGTTATCACCATTATGATTTGTGTTATCATCGTCAAAAATGTCCGTGGAATCGTCTTCCACCTGAAAAAAAAAAAATAGCAGGTTGGATTGAGATTTTCAACTCGTTTAACTAAAAAGGGTAATCTGAAGAAACCTGTTCGATTAAATAGGTTAGTTAGGGTTGAAATTTTTGAAATGAAATCAATCGGCCAAGTCGTTTAGTAATATATATTCTTTTTAATTTAACATTTAATTAGTAGTTATGTTTTGAAACTTTGAACAGTTATTTGGTTTTGTAACTAATTTAACCAAGTCGAAACTTGTTTTTAAGAAAAGTTTAAAATTTAAACGGGATAACCCAGGTTATCCTGTTTATCCAAGTTGGAAAAAAAAAGTAAACAGGTTAACCTTCGTGTTAACCTGTTTACCTAATGGATCAGGTTGAGTTGTTTCAACTCAGCCTGATTATTTTGTTTGTTGGGTTGGAAAAAATTAATATCAACCCAGCCCAACCCATTGCCAACTCTAATCTTAAAGTACAAATTTCTGGTTTTCATGATTTCATCATTAATGTTGGTATCTGACATCAGCTAAACACAGTCTCATCTCTCTGTATATATATCCAACGGTTAATATACAAAAAGGTGTTAGATTTTACCTCACAAAATATTCTGAAACGACGCCTCCTCCAAGCCTCCCGAGAAAATTGCAGAAACTAAACAAACTCAAAAGTGTAGTCGTATCATTAAACCCAAGCGAAACACCAATCTGAGCCAAATTATTAAGAACAGTAACACCAGACCCAACACCAAGAAAATAAACAAACCACAAAAGCCAAAAATCCGCCTTCACAATCGCCTCACGAAACGTAAAATCCTCCCCTCTTCTCGGCCTTCTCTTCTTCTTAATTTTCACAGCCCCTTCTCCAACAGCAAGAAGCGCATCCACCTCAGAAATATCTTCACCATCATTGATTTTTTCAAGATTCATATCAGAATTCGATGGTGTCAATGTCAACAACGGATCATTCAAAACCGAAGAACTACCAGGCCGAGTAAGCTTCTTGTTAGGAAACAAAGTCATTTTAATTGGAATTGCAAGAGGTGCTAGTAAAAGCACCACCATTATTCCAATAAAAGTGTAGGAAATTGTGTTACTTAGATTCACAACGTCTTTTAGTATCGTGGTTGCGAGAAGAAAGACTGCAAGTACAACACTTGCTAATTGGGTGAAGAGGAAATGCGCGTTTTCGGATGGATCTGCTTCGGAGGGAGTACACGCGCGAATGTAATACATTAGGGATAAACAGATGAATGGGATACCGAGTGTAAGGAAGAGTAGTAGCGATGATGCGGATCCTTTTAGCACCATGGTGTAAACTTCTGTGACAACTGCAGCACTTAGGCCTACGTAGCCTTTGAGAATGCCTGCAACTGTGCCTCTGCTTAGAGGGAAGTTTCTCATGTTGGTGACAAGGACAGCTGTCCCTAACCATGCACTGCTGTGTTGGTGGCAACAGCAAGTGCGATCCATAACTGCATAGTGAAAGGTTATTAGACTCCACATATCGTATCAGAGCAAGCCGAGTGTTTTTTTTTTTCTATTAAGTCATGTATGGGTGAAGTGGTTGAATGGATAATGATGTTTGTTTTGATAAAGTGTTGTTGCATAGATAATGTCTTGTTTTCTTTTTTGGACGGAATAAACTCAATTAGACTAGATGACTGTTTTACGGTTAGATTCTAGAAAAAAAAGTACAATACTTATCAATTTTACACGAGAGGAGTTGAGAGGAAAAAAAAATAATCTAGGTAAAGGGTTAAAAAATAAACTAGGTAAAGGGTTAAAAAATAAACTAGGTAAAGGGTTAGGATGCATTTGGTTGTGGAAAATTGATACATCAAGCAAGGTTTTTTGGCTTAACCCATTAAGTCATTTTGTCCAGGTTAAGTAAAAAAAAAACAGTGATCTAGAGCTGTCCGGATTAAGTGCGTAACTTAGTGACCCACATCCGGTAGACACAACTCTACCTGTCTAACCCGTGTCTGTATATGTTTTGGAGTCTAAAATCAAGGCTCTTTCCTAGAGAAAATTTACTAATTTAGGACCCAACATATCTAATTTTAGGGGGTGTTTGGGAGTGCTTCACAAAAATTATGTTCCCGTTTTCACATTATACACCTACCCAAGAAAGAAGACACAAATATACCAGAAAGGTATGAACATCATAGAGCACAAGAATTGCAAAGCATCAAGATGCATAAAAATACCATTTTTTTAAGGTCAAGAATCATGGTTTTAAAATCAAAAGACAAATCGATCAAGATAAGTAGGTAGGTAAGAACAGAGTCTTTCAAAGATGAAGGTAAAGAAAAAAAATAAAATACTTACAACCCAGTAAGGCACGTTGTGAACAGTTTCACTAACAGCAAGCCAAATGATACCATAACCAAAGAAAGAAGCAAGAACACCGATCAAAAGAACAACCCACGGTGGGTATTTGTTAGAAGCAATGCCCGGAAGTATACCAACATTTTCCCCAAAATCATTAGCAACACCGAGAATTGTAAGCTGTTGCTGAGAAAGACCCAGTACAGATTTCAAAGAGAGGGAGTAAAGAGGGAAAGCGTAGGCGTTGCCGGAGGCGATCTGAACCCAAACAGCGGCGGCAAGACCCACCCACGGCGGCCGGCTTCCTGCTTTTAGGGCCGGCATACTGTATACACTCCGCGAACACCGTTTGATTCAGATACTGTATGTTTGCTAAATTAGTGACAAGGAACTGGAAGAGAGTGTCGATTTAGGGTAGTAGGTATACATGAACTATATCAGAATCAGGTATGATGAGAATTGAGAAGATAAACGACAGACGGAAAGGTTGGGGATTTAGTGGGTGGGTAAGGGCCTAATTAGTACAAGGCGAGATGAAATTGTCGACATTGTAAGAAGTAGCTATCGAAACTCAAAAGATTCATGGTAGGAAGGTCTGTGGTATGGAATGTGGACAAAAAAGGCAGAATATTTTATTATTATTCTGTAAAATTTTAACTAATTAATATAATAGTTTATTATTATTATATTACTTTGTGAAATTTAATCATTTAAAAAAAAAACAAAATAAATAAATAATAAGATAAAGAATATTTCGTCAATACGTAACTATAAAAAATGACTAAAGAACAAGTTTGTTTTATAAAATAGGTAAAAATATTTAATAAAATAATGTAAATATTTTTATATTGTTTGCAGTTGGCAAGCATTGAATTAAAATGAAAGATAATTAGGTAATACTATATTTAATCAAAAAATTATTAAGGGTGTGTTCGTCACGGAGCGTTTGGAAGCGTTTGAGAGCTTCTAGCTTAACGCTCCGTTTTAAACAGAAAGTCTCGTTCGGCACTACAAACTTCTAGCGTTTAGTTTAATCAAAATGTTTCGAATTCAAATGTTACTTCATGTAGCGTTTAACAAAACATTACAAACTATAAGCTACTCGCTACCTGCTACTACCTACTCGCTACCAGCTAATTTTACCAGACACGCCCTATATGTATTTATAACAATTTAGAAGAGAAAACTAATTTTAACAATTCCGGAAAACTAATTCATTGTGTAACCAATTTAAACACCAAGTGAATATTTAAAATAATGTACAAAAAATCTTGTTAAAATTCACCGAATATTTTCAAATTTCACACAATACTATGTAAAAAAAATTAAATATTGTTGAAAACACTTCAAAAATAAATAAAAGATTTATATGTATATTTGTATTGTGTAATGGAGAGAAAATCTAAGACTCCACAATATGACTAACATTGTATCATAGTATCTTAACAAACTACAACAAGTTACATGTTTTTTTTTCCATCATGTATCGGTAAAGTGGCTGAATGGATAATAATGTCTTTTTTAGATAAAATGTTGTTGTATACATAATGTTTTTTTTTTTTACCAAATATATAAAATGTAGAGTAAATTACCGTTTTACCGTTATATTCTAGAAAAAAAACTACAATATTTGTCAATTTTAATACAAGTGGAATTGGTAGGGGAAAAAGTAAAATATTTACAGGTTAGTGTCTTAATACATAAAGCAATTTGTTTTTTTTTGGTTCTTAAACTAATAGACATTTTGTCCACGTTAAATAAAAACAAAACAGTGATTTGTAGCTGTCCGGATTAAGTGTTTCACATAAATGACACACATCACCTAGACATGACTCTATATATCTAATATGTCTATGTATACGTTTAGAGTCTAATAGAGCTCTTTTTGGGGAGAAAATTTTGAACAGCATATATAATGTTATCATGTTCCAAGAAAGAATATACAAATATACCTGAAAGCTGCATCATAGGGCCAAGAATTGCAAGACAATCTAGAAATTTGTAATTATAAATACAAGAAAACATCAAGATGCATAAAAATACCATTTTTAAGGTCAAGAATCATAGTTTTAAAAATCTATAGACAAATCGATCAAGATCGGTAGGTAGGTAAGAACAGAGTCTTTCAAAGATGCAGGTAAAGAAAAGAGTAAATTACACGAATCGTCGCTCGTGCAAGTTGTCAAAAAACATGTTCAGACCCTATTTTCAAAAAGTAATTTGAACTGTCCATTGTTTTTTTTAAATTTGCACGCTTCATCTATCATTAGTTCAAATTTGCAAAATTCATCATTTGCCCCACATAAAATGACTATATTACCCTTCCCTGCTTTATTTTGTATTTATAAAAAAATAGAAAATAAATTCAAACCCTTTTTTCACATTTATTAATAAATTTTAAACAACTAAACCTATCACCCCTTACCCACCCCACGTATTTATCTCCATTCTCACACTCTCCATCTTTCACGACGAACTCACTCCCCATAAAATCAAAATGCGGCCACCGGACCACCACCATCTCTTTTTCAATGTATTAATGTATCTGCCATACCTTCATTATTCTTTACAACAACATCTTCAGTGGAATGGATACCCATTCACTTTAACACCATCTTCATCGCCATCGTGGTGGATTATACGAGCCCGTCGTCAGAAAACAACATCATCTGTTACTTTTATAGTGGAGCAGGATCATCTGAATCTTCTTCTATGGCTCACAGATCCGATAACTTCTTCTGTCGGCACAACTACCATAGGCGTTAATCATAATCTTCTTTCTTCTCCTGCAACTTATGGGTTCTTATTTGCAGGTTTAGGGTTTAGTTAGGTTTGATTTATAGGTTTAAGGTTTGTTCTTTGAGGTTTGATTTTCAAGGTGATAAAAGGATATAATGGATTTGTTGAACGAGGAATAGCATGAATTGTAGTCACATGTTCAAATCACCTGCTTGATCTTATCAAGGTCCAGATGCAGTTATGGAAGAAGATAGGTGTCAGATTAATCGTCGGTGGGATCGGCGCCACTGTTGGGAACCAACCAGTTATACAAAGTCGTAATTACAAAAGTGTGGTTGACATGGGCGGACACAAGATTTCGTAGTAGGTGTTGCCGATGACATTTTTTGTACGTAGTGGCACAATAATAGAAAAAACGAAAATTTCGAAATTTTTTACACTACGTCCAAAAAAATAGGGGCTGCCAGTGCCACTATGGGCACCATAGTGGAATCGCCCCTGGTAGTGGATGCGATATCACAGATAGCGAAAAGCAATGGGATCAGAAGCCTTTGGTGTAGATCATCACTGACTGTGAATCAGTTTATTTAGGTTTGATTTTAGGTTCTAGGTTCATCAATTTTTGGGGCGTGGCCGGATCTTTAGGGAGGAAAGGGTGGGATGGGTTCAGTAGTGGTTAGACGTAAGAAACAATATAGAGTGAGGGATCACCGGAAAATCTTAAATGCGTTACCGACAATGTTTATCTGGTGGTCCATCGATAATGTTGTAAAACTCGCCGAGTTGGCCGATTGCTGAGCCGTGTACTCCTTACTCGGCCCGTTACCGGGGCGAGTTACAGAATCTGAATACTCCCTGATTGGCCCCTTACTGAAGCGACCCGGATCGTATTTGGTTTAGGATCGGGATTCGATTCTACATTCCCTTGATTTTTTTTAAATGAAATTTTTATTACCACTTTATGTCTTTTACCCTTACCAATATATCGTTTATCATTCTGTGTCATGATTTATGACTAATATTTTGAAGTTTTTATAACTTTTGAACGAAAAATTAAATGTTTGAAATATTTTCATGTTATAAAACTATAAATTACAGTTATGTTTTATTTTGTGTGATTTTAGGATTCGATCTCGATTTTGCAAACCAAAAAACGATGTTACGTCGGAATCCGATCTTGACAACCTTTATATTAATTATTACAAATAAAAAATTTAGTAAGAATAATATAGTCATTTCATATTAACAGGTCTAAAAGTGCAAGAAAAAACAAATCTAAATAGAGAGCAACATTTTGGCATATGTACTAAGTTTTTTAAGAAAAAAAAATACTTACAAACCAGTAAGGCACGTTATGAACAGTTTCAGTAACAGCAAGCCAAATGACACCATAACCAAAGAAACAAGCAAGAACACCGATCAAAAGAACAACCCACGCTCGGTATTTGTTGGAAGCAATGCCCGCAATGATACCAAAATTTTCCCCAAAATCATTAGCAACACCGAGAATCGTAAGCTGTTGCTGAGAAAGACCCAGTACAGATTTCAAAGACGGGGAGTAAAGAGGGAAAGCGTAGGAGTTGCCGGAGGCGATCTGAACCCAAACAGCGGCGGCAAGACCCACCCACGGCGGCCGGCTTCCTTCTTTCAGGGCCGGCATAGTGTGTATACGCCGTTTGATTCAGATACTGTATGTTTGCTAAATTAGTGACAAGGAACTGGAAGAGAGAATCGATTAGGGTAGTAGGTGTACATGAACTATACCATAATCAGGTATGATGAGAATTGAGAAGATGAAAGACAGACAGAATGGTTGGATTTAGTACAAGGGTGATGAAATTGTCGACTTCGATCTGTGAAGAAATAGCTATCAAAACTCAAAAGATTCATGGTAGGAAGGTCTGTGGTTTGGAATTTGGCAAAAAAAAAGGCAAATTAATTTAACTAATAAAGATAATACTTTATTATTATTATATTACTTTGATGAAATTTAATCATTTAAAATGTAGAAAACATAAAAAATAATAATAATAATTAAGATAAGAATATTTGTCAATACGTTAACTATAAAAAATTTATTAGTAACAAGTTTATTTTATAAAATAGTTATAAAAATATTTAATAAAATAATATATATATATATATATATATATATATACTTTTGTATTTTTTGCAGTTGGCAAGCATTTAGTTAAGATGAAATGAAAGATAATTAAGTAATACTATATTTATTTATAAAATTATTTTATGTATTTATAAAAGTTTTAGAGGATTAAAACTAATTTTAACAATTTGGGAAAAGTAATTCATTGTGTAGCCGATTTAAACACTAGTGAAAATTTAAAATAATGCATAAAAAAATCTTGTTAAAAGCCACTGAAATTTTTTAAAATTCACACAATATTATGTAAAAAATATATATTGTCGAAAACACTTAAAAAATAAATAAAAGATATATAGTTGATAGAGCCACAATATCACTACCCTAATAAGTTTTGTGTATTTCTTAAAAGCATATATCTGCTAAAATTATTTATGAAAATGATGTTAAAGTTTTAGTTTAGATTATTTATGTCAATACGTATTTTCAGAAAAAATCAAATTAAAAACCATATAATGGTCGTCGTTGTCATGGCTTTTTTTGGTAAAAAGAAATAACAATGAAGAATGTATGTTTTTGTGGGATTTTTTAAAACGATATGAAGTGACCTGACGGAAGATATGAAATGGGCCCTTTTTATATTATTGTCCGATTTTTCATATACCTTTTCCTATCAATCTTATTTTTATCTCCTGATTCCATTTCCACATATTAAAATTTTAGAGTTTAAAAAAAAGTAACCAAACAAAATAAAAAAGAGCCAATAATTCATAAAAGAAATTTTCTATGGGCTTGTTCGGCAACATTAACTGTTAGCGGGTAGCGGGTAGCGTTTTGTTAAACGCTACATGAAGTAGCATTTGGATTTGAAGCGTTTTGTTTAAACTAAACGCTAGAAGCTTGTACTGTCAAACAAGACTTTCTGTTCAAAACGGAGCGTTTTGTCAAACGCTAGAAACTAGAAGCTCCTAAACGCTCCCAAACGCCCCGTGCCGAACACGTCTTATATATGCGATGCATAATAACACATGGTTGGTCATGTTTAAATATGGTTAAAAATCTCAAACTAGTCAAACATGTTTTTAGTAAACAAGTAAAAAAAAAATTCAAACACACTCCAACTATTTAATAAATAAGTTGAAACCCAATTGAATTTTATGTTTTCCATATCCCAAAAATAACAGATTTAACCAAAGTTATTCACATAAATTTACAAAAAGTAAAAAAAAAAAAATCCAATAATTTTTCAAATAAAACTTAAAAACTCAAAGACCTATTCACATATGAAAATAATATAACGACATCGCAAACGCAAATCGAGGGTTAAAAAAATATTATAATCTTAGTTGAAAAATTATCAAAGTTTTGAAATAAACATAAAAATACATAACTAACTAAATAAGATATGGAAATATAAAAAGAAATAGTATAGAAAGTTGTACAAGAAAGTACATTGTTTATTCATGAAAATACATTGCTACTAGAAATTAGTAGGTGTTCCAAAAGTTCATGGCTTAGTCATGAAAGTACACTGTTTTTCTAAAAGTTGTATGGTCTGAAGTTCCAAAATTCCATTAAAAAACTTTGATATGAACCCTGCAAATTCATGATTGTATACTGCCAATTGGTCCGAGTTCTAATATAAATGGAAAAGTTTAATAATTTCAAAATTACTAGATTGCTAGTGTTTTCAATATTGAGACTTAATGAGTATTGAGGGGTTCAAGACTATGACGGGAGGATTGATAGGGTTCAATATTTGACTAAGTTACTAATGCGATTATGTGAAGAATGAAGATTAAAGATTAGGGATATAGTTGTTTGGAGGTGAAATGGAAGAGAAGGAGAAGGGAAGAAGGCTTAAGACGATTAGTGATTACATTGTGTTCCTGGATTTAATAAAGGAAAGAAAATAAGAAGAGAAAAGAAATGGAGGGGAATGGATATATATATATATATATATATATATATATATATATATATATATATATATATATATATTATATATATAAAAGGAAGAATTATATGGAAAATGAATGTTTACGACAACACATGTTGGAACCAATGAAAAAATGACAACACATCACTTTAACTATATAAATAACTTTTATAATACATTATTTATGAAAAAAAAATGGACACATGCCACTTGATTATTGGTTCCAGCATATATTCTTTTAGTTATTCATTTTCCATTGAACCTACTTCTCTCTCTATATATATATATATATATATATATATATATATATATATATATATATATATATATATATATTTTCATGTTCAAACAAAGGGAGGGGATTGAAGTTGTTTGATGATGGAGAACACAACATACATGAGGGGCATTGAAGAAAAGCATGATTATAGAAGCTTCGTTATCTTTTTATGTTAGGTTGAAGGGTAAATCGGTAAATGGCAAAGCCTTATATTCGTATTAGATTAAATTTTTCTCCATAATAACCGTCCATTTTGGAAGGAAAGTTAGGAGGAAGATTTCCAACAAATTTTCTTTGTCTTCTTGAGTTCTTTCCACTTTCTTCTATTAAAAAAATAATAAATGCTATTTTCATTTCCCTTGACTTCCCCTTTATAAAAGAATTCGGGAACACAATGTTAGGGTTACTATCTAAGGGAGTAATATGTCGCGTATATTATTATTCTAAAGTTGTTATTTTTTTTATTTGATTGTGTATAAACTAATTAATATATTAATTAAATAGTAATACTTAATAAATTTCAAATAAAAGAATTTACAATTTTTAAACGGGTTTGTTGGTTAAAATTTGGTTGGGATTTTCAACTATTTTTAATTGCATCTTATTTAATTAAACGGGTTAGACATATTGATCCGTTTAATTAATCGGGTTAACAATCTCAACTAAACCCACTAATTATTTGGTTGAGTTGTTTTTTGTCGGCTCTAACAAGGACATAAAGATGCAAAGGTTTACGAGGTTGAATGTCCAAACAAAAGGCTTATTGGTTGTTTGATTCTTATCATATATGTGTTACAACATTTGCGTAATTGTTATGCTCCCTACGGATTCCAACAATGATTATAGAGCCTTCAATTCCAGTGTGATTGTACATGCATTGGCCAAATTATTATGTTCATGCAAATCGCTTTTTGGTCCCGTTTTAAAGAATGAAGAAACCGCAAATATCTTATTTTTTTTGGAAAACGGCCATCAATTAAAAAAACTCACCCAGCATAGCAAGAAACTATGAGGGTAGAAATAAGAACAAAGTGTTCCAGAACAAATTGAAAATGTAAACAATTACTGTTGATGGATTAATTATCAACACCCATTTTTGCGTTGTTTTAGCGCAAATTGTACCAGTGTGGCAGAATGGTCAACTATTACGTTTATGCTTTGGATATTGTTCTCTTTCTTCATCAGGTTTTTTGTATGTATTATATAAATCCATTGTGGTTTTTGTGTTTAACATTTGCCCGAAATGACCATTGTGGTTGCCTATCTATGATTTTTGGTGTTTTTCATTCAGGTAAGACGTGTTTATCGTTTTTGTTGTAAATGTAGAGCCATATATTCATGATTTATTAATAAAGTAATATAATAAGTTTTTAATTTCCCTTTTTTCAACTTGTGCCCAAATTAAAGCAATACTTGGAGGAAAATGATTTCATAAATACGTTTATTAGGATTAACTAAAATAATTGCAATAACATTATTTTATTATTTTATTAATGTATGATCTTTTTAATCATATAATATATAGATCTTTTTAATCATATAATATATAGTTTAGAAAGTTTTATTCTTATAAAGTTTAACTATTTATTATATTAAACTTCAAATGTTTAGCTACTTTTATATACATTGACTTAAAACAAAAAGTTGTTAAATTGAATATATATAATAGTATTATACAAAACAAAAATTGAAATTAAAATATTTTATATACTTTTAAAGTTATTATATAAAATTTTAACTATTTATCATAACAAGCTTCAAATGTTTAGCTAAATTTTTATACATTGACCAAAAATATTAAGGGGCTAACTTAACTATATAATATTATGAGTATTATACAAAACAATTAAGAAATATTTAAAACATTTATGAATTTTTTAGCAAGCATTTAACACAGATAAAAGATAATTAAGTTATATTATATTTGCATAAAAATTATTTATATCATAAAAAATTTATAAAAAAAATCAAATAAATTTTAACAATTTTCGTATAACCCAACGAGGGAGGGAGGGAGATGCCCATTCACCACTACCACACACCAAGGGGGTGAAGCTCACCCCTAAGATAGCATTGCCACATTATCCATATGACACTTGTGTAAGGGACATACCCAATGAGTATATGAGTAGGTGTTTAACACTTAGGCCACACGGAGTGGAGGTGTTAAGATGTCTCACTAAGAAGTGCTAAGCTCACCAAACACCACCCCCTAGCATGCGCTAAGGGAGGTGCTAAACTAGCCTTGCTAGTCGGGTAACGAGAAGAGAGACGGGAGAGAATGACGAATGTGGGTTGTGATTGGTTGACCTCAATTTGTTTTTTTTTTCCAAAATCAATTCTAATTAAATTACTTCACCACCACTCCCTATCTTACAAGGTGCTAAGGTTTTAAAAAAAAAAAGCTTATGTGGCTTAACAAAAATCTGATGTGACAATGTGCTAAGGATGCTACTACTCCCTCTAGCCTTAGCGATGTAATAGAGTTAGCGAATCGAAGGGAATGCAATCCCGCATCAATTAGATAGAGATTCTCATTTTAAAGGTCTTTATATAAATATTTAGAAGTCCAAATATCTAAGTTTAAGTTATGTATATAAGATATCTTATCATCTCTTGCTTAAACAATTATTTTGTATGCGATGGAAGGACTCGCTTCACAAAAATCAGGTATATGTTAAAACGACCGTTAAATTTATATTACTATAACATCTTTTCATATAAATTTATTATCTTTAATTTTGTTAATAAATTTAATTTTTGAAATACACATCATTTTGACATTATACATTATACACCTCTACACGAAGGAAGACACATATATACCAAAAAACTACATTATAAAAGCCCAATAGTTGCAAGACATCCAGAACTTTCTAGTAAGAAATATACCATAAAATATAAAAAGTCAACTACCCATTCGTGATAGTTGGATTAACTTAACCAGAGCTTAGGTCGAGGAGTATTATATGAATCCCGATTCTCCTCTTAGCAATGTGGGACAAAATGAATATTCTAAGCAGGAACACATGCAGCCAAGATAAGGTCAAGAATCATAGTTTTCTAAAGACAAATCGATCAAGATGGGTAGATAAGAAATAAAAGTTTTAAAGAGGACGTTAAAAAAAAAATACTTACAACCCAGTAAGGTATGTTGTGAACAGTCTCAGTGATAGCAAGCCAAATGACACCATAACCGAAGAAAGAAGCAAGAACACCGACCAAAAGAACAACCCACGGTGGATGCTTGTTAGATGCAATGCCAGGAAGTATACCAACATTTTCTCCGATATCATTAGCAACACCGAGAATGGTAAGCTGTTGCTGAGAGAGACCCAGTACAGATTTCAGAGTGTGAGAGTAAAGAGGGAATGCATAGGCGTTGCCGGAGGCCATCTGAACCCAAACAGCGGCGGCAATACCCACCCATGGTGGCCGGCTTCCAGCTTTTAAGGCCGGCATAGTGTGTATATATACCGTTGGATTCAGATACTATCTGTTACTGTCTCTTTGCTAAAGCAGTGATATTGCAGAAGAGTATGATCACAATGAAATATCTACTCAAATGGTTACGAGGAGAAGATGAATCAAAGATCGACAAAAAAAGTCAGCTTAATTTTATGTGTTTGTGCTGCTTTTAATTTCCCTTTTATACAAGATCTGCCCAAATTAAGTCAATCAATTAATTATTAGGATACTCTGAAAATATTGTAATAGATTACTCTTTTTTATTCATAATATTTTTAATTATTTTATATAATATATTTAAATGTTTTATTGAGATAATATTAAGTAAACCCCTTGAAATCTTAATTGTATCCACATAAACTATTATTATTATTTTTAGATTTATTTTTATTTATTATATTAGTATTACTATTAAATGTAGTATTATTCTATTTAATAGTAACAATATCAAATTATTATTATAATAATTGCTATTTTTAAATTTATTGTTTTTGTTATTATTATTATATTATTATTTGTTTTTATATATAAATTTATTTTTTGGTTATTAATTTAGTTTTATAAGTAACTTATTTCTATGAAAAAGATTATGATATGTATGTGGCTATTTTTTTTGTAATATTTCAGAAAATATTTTTTTAAATGTCGTCAAATTTAAAAGGTTAAAATGTAAATTGTATTTTATTATAAAGCACAACTATATTTAGAGGATTTCCAATTGTTAAGCTCACAAAGATTTATTATTTTGGTTGCATCATTTGTTTATTAACTTTTATTTAATAAAAACTTTTAGTAAATGTATTCTTCAACAGTTAAACTTTTTAAAAGTTTTTTCATAATTAAACTAATTTATCATTTATCCATATTAATTAATGTTAAATTAAACCATCTCATATAATTTATAATTTATCATTGTTGGATAATTTTTCTAAACCATATAAGATTATAAAGCTATAAAAACGCTAAAATATTATGTAACCGAAATGTTTTATAATATTTGATATTTTTAATTTTGACAATTGTGACAACTACTTTTAAATTATTTAACCTTGTTATATACTATATTTTTTAATCAATTCAATTGATTAACTAATAAAAAAATCATGATATTTAAATTGTTGGATTAGGTGTCTAATTAGCTCATAATTATAATTTGTATATACTTGAACTTGATAGTAGCACAGTCTTTTTGGGTTGTGCTCAAACCTAGCAATTGGACATGATGACTTTTAGAGAAAGATGTTAATTTATCATTTGATTAATAAATTGAAATAAGAAGTTTATTAATATATTATGAAAATAATATATTAATTAGAAAAGTTATTATTTAATTAATAATTGATCAGAAATTAATTAGAATTAATTTTAGGATTAATAGAATTAATTAAAAGTACAGAGTCTGAAGTGTAATTGTTCAATAGTTGAGCAAAATGTTCCAGAACCTTCCATTTTAAGGGTTGGACAGTTTTTGAGGATATTTTAGGGTTTATAGAATATCTCATGTGGATAATAAAAAGGTAGATAAATACCAAATTGGAAATATTAATTAAATATTTAAATTAGGGTTATTTAGGGTTTCCTATTCCCACTATAAATAGGACCCTAAGGCCTTCTTTTTTTTGGCCACTCTATTATTCTAAGGGTTGGACGAAAATCTCTTCTCCTCTCTCCTCCTTCAAGTCATCTTCTTACTAGCTTGGGTGTGATTCCATTAGAGGCACGACATTTGTGGTGCTAGCTTCCAAGAGATCTACAAGTGAAAGATCATTGTTATTTACTACAATAACAATAAGGTATGTAATTCTAAATCTTCTTTTGATATTTTTGAAAATAGCTTATACCATCTGTCACAACTAGCATTTTTAGCTAGGAGATTCTATTCTCATGTAAACATCAGCCATTTCAAGACTTGTACTTTAAGTTAATATCATGCTATATCCTAACATGAAATCATCCATTTGAATCCAAACTCTTGATTGAAGTTCAAAACCTAATACAATACATCTCATATGTTCAACTATGGATTGAAAACCCTAAAAATCCCGGTTCAAGATTATTATGGACTAGGATTCTCTTATTGGGCCTAATGGACCAGTAAACCTTTCATTTAATTATTTTGGGCCAAGGAACCCCATTTGGGCTCTAACTGGACCCACATTCATCAAACCATGGCATTTTGGGCCATAAGACTTCCCATGGGCCTTATTGGACCTAAAATGTCCCCCTTCATTCTCCTAGGCCTTATGGGCCGTGAACACCTCACTTGAACAAGGTTGGGCCGAAAACTCCTATAATGAGCCCTATAACTTCGAAAATATTCAATAATGGCCCAAAATTTTCCTTTCTCTCCTTTCATTCCGAATTTGAATATATATATATATATATATATATATATATATATATATATATATATATGTACATGTAAAAAAAGATGGAATAATGTGATGAAGACACCTCATCTTTAACTAGAAGTTCTCCATGTAAATTACATCACATACTTCCATGATTAGGCCCTTAATCCACCATGTAATGACCATTCTTCTCACTCTCTTTCTTCCTTCTTATTCTCGGCCAACTCTTTTCCCTCACCACTCTCCATTCCACACTTTCAACACTATAATCCTCCTCTTAAAGCCATCTAAGGTTCTCTCATTTTCATCCCTCAAGAATCCGTGAATTAGGGTGTGTTCACCAATGTTTTCTTCAAAGATCATCACTCATTTGATCCACCTTAAGTTCGAAAAACTCCACTCAAGAAGCTTCTAAAGCCGAGATCCTTCTCCTTCTTCATCAAAAACCGAAATTTTCAAACCAATGTGAGTTCATACCCCCTATTTTCAGTTTTTACTAAGTTTTGGGTGATAATACAAGTTGTTTTGTGTAGATCTATGTGTATATGCATGACTATGTGTGTTTTTCATGATTTATTTGGTGATTATGTGTTGTTTACTTCATAAATCTAAAAATATGTTAAAAGTATGTTAAAAATATGAGAAAAGTATATGTTGTCGTGTAAATTTGCAGATCTGAGATTTATACACTCAAAATAGCAAAAACAAGTGTTGTGTTCAAAAATCTGTAACCTAAACTCAAAAATCAGCTTTTAATAGAAAAGTTTTGGTCTAGTTACTGACTGTTTTGACCAACTTGATGGTAATATGTTTCAAAACTATTTTACATGCAAAACGTTCAAGTTTATACCTTTAAAATGACTACTCTCACACATTCATACGATTTTTCTACAATTTTTGGCGATTTTTACAAAACTGCCTATCATTTCAGGAAGGATTTCGGACCAGTCTGTGAAGATGAACATTTTCACACAGGTTTGAGATCACTAAAAATTATAATAAAAAAATTATGAAGAAAGTAGACTCATTTCTAAACTCTCAGAGTTGACGGATCCAAATTTCGACTTACAATGATTTTTCTATAATTTTTCTAAAAATAAAGACGTAAATGTCAAAAATCAGAAAATTGTTTTAACTTACTAAAAGTGTTTATATGTTAGTTAGATGCTAGTTTATATGACTTATACATATTTTTAAATCATCTAGACAAGTTAACTTATGTGCATTTAATATATATATATATATATATATATATATATATATATATATATATATGATTACAAAAGTGGTATTTTTAAGTCAATTTGACAAATAATTGAACTAATACTAGCAATAAAATAACAAACGGACAAATTTTGTCATTCATATAATATTGGGCCTTAGTGGCCCATTAATATGTTTGATAAGTCCTGAATACTATTTATATGTTTATTAGGCCTCATTGAGCCATTAACATGCTTGACGGACCGTGGATACTAATTTCGTGCTATTTGGGCCTGTAAATACCTTACATGTGAAATGAGCCTTAGTTGTCATTTTACATATATTTTGGGCCCATGTTATATAACCTCTTTCCTTTCGGGCCTAAAAATGACTTAGATGCTTAGTGGGCCTTAGTTGCTCACTTACATGGTTCATTGGGCCTGGAATGAGTTTTATATGTTTTTCTTCGCGTAAATTCGATTAAGGATCTAGTGAGACGTGTCGGTTGACACCTATTGCGTGTACGATCGTAGCCTGTAGTTATAACCAGAGTCTCTTGGAGGGAGCGGGGATTTGTGTATAGATCTATACGGGGATGACACCCCACACCTGAGCTGTTTGCTACAGTTAGACTAAACCAGTCTAGGGTGACGAAAACCTTATTCTATTTTCCGTCGGCGTTCACCAACGCCAAGATAGGCGAAATTGTTATTATTTAGTATGGTTATGACGGCTCACTTAGAGGAATTAACATTATGAAGTTTGCGGAAGACCATTCTCTTTTCTATTGGATTACTTGGAAACATACTCATACTGGTACTCAACCTCGGGGTTGGTACGACAACATTCTCTTTTCATCTTTTACAGGCAACATAGGGTTGTCTGGGGGCATTCTATTTACATTCTCTTCATTCACTTTTGGCATTCTATTAATCAATAACACACATGCATTAATACAAGATAGGACACAAACATACTAAACTATTTTAAGAAAATACAGGATTTTCTTGTGATTACAAAGTTATACAAATCATTTCCTCAAACATGCTTATGAACTCACCAACATTTTTATGTTGACATTTTTAAATTAACTTGTATTCTCAGGAAACCGTTGAAGCAGGTTGGGCTGAACAAACTAATGGATGTTTTGTTATATTTTGTTTCATCAGACTTTAATTATTTTGGCATGTAATATTCAAACACGGTACTCGATGTAAAAAATGAATGTTGTTATATTACATGTGTGGTGATGATGATGTTATGTTTCAATTATATACTTTGTGATGATACTTCAAGGATAAAGTCACGCGCAAGCCCCCAGACGTTTCCGCCGTCTGGTTCGGGGGTGTGATAGATTGGTATCGGAGCATTATTTATAGTGAACTAGCATATCTAATCATACAAGATATGCAACTATAAATACAATGGGACTAAACTACT